CCCTTCTCTCATTTTTCTTTGCCAAGAATGATTGACAAAACCACTTTGGCCTGCATTAAAGAAAATGGGCGAAGCTGAGATTTACAAGATCAGAAACTACTCCAAAGATAAAATCATACAATAATTTAGGCTGGAAGGGACCCACAAAGGTCATCTGGTCCAGGCCCCTTTTCATGACAGGGCCGATTTATAAGATAGATTAGGTCTCTCAGGGTTGATCAACAAGCACAGCAACTACAGACACTCACTGCTTGAACAGAGTAAAAACTGATTAACTCAGTACTTGGTTCGGACTAACTAGAAGGAAGAATGATGAATGGAATTTGGCTATTTCACTCATTTAAGAAGTGAAGGACTAACTGAAGGATAAAGATGGCAAAAATTGCAGAAAATTTGGTGTGCGTTTAAGTGTGATAGTGAAAAGAGGGCTGAGTGAAATGTGACCAGGATCTACTCTAAAATTCTTGGAAATAATGTAAAGGGTAACAAAAGCTAACTGCAGTACAAAGTTGTAATCAACAGCTGTGTATATGTGATTATTAGATCACAGAAACACACCTATAATAGAAATGTTTAAAAAGAGATATTCATAAACCAAGGGAAAGTTATATCCAATTAACTATCTGTACAAGAAGGATATATATATATATATCTATCTATATCTCACATACCACAACCATACTATATGCTTTGAGAGATTTCAAGTAAAAGTTACAGTCAGGAGCAAAATACCTGATGAAATTAATCAGAAATCTAGATTGGACCTAGACAGCATCTTAGTGCCAGGAACAGCAGCAGTTTCAAGAACTCTGACCAACTAGATAATGGATGTCAAGATTTGAACTTTCCAGGTTACTTAAACTATCAGAAGTTGTCTAAGATTTTATAATAAATTCCATATTTGGCAATTCTCCAGATGAAAAAGAGGCCAAGGTACTTGTCCTAAAAGGAGAAGTTCTTTAAATGACTGTGGTGTTGTGAACTGTCCAGCATGCCTCACTGTGAAAGAACAGCATGGGTACAATGAGCCTTTTCTTGGGCAAAACCCAGGGATTTTAGCACTCCAGCAATATCACGTTGTGCAGGAGCCTTTAGAATTTATTTTACCTTTTTTTTTTTTTTTTAATATCAAGCAGTTGTGTTGGAAAGCAGTCCCACATTTATTTAAAGGGTGTATGTCCTCACAGTTAGATTTTCAAATCACTATTTTACTCTCATCTCAGAGTCTCGATGTCTTGCAATCAAGCCACCAAGGGCACAAAAAGCTGGCATATATATTACAGGACAAGAAATATGACAAATTGCCATACAACTTTGTTCGTTTAAAAGTAACCCTCAGAAGTTGTTGCATGCCTATGAAAGTCCATTCTCATTTCCATATTAGCATGGTATGAGTCTGTTAAAACCAAATACCTGATAACTGTACTGAAAGTCAAAACTCCTTTTCTTTTTCAGCCAGTGCAATTTTTCTGGATCTAATCACTTTTCAGACAGCTAAATAGACACATAGAATACTACATGGTTATCCTCTGATTCAGAGAAATTTGTGTCCCATTTAACTTCTATGTTTGTACTTACTGACAGTTGCAGCCACACATGCAATTTTTCATGAGAGATTGTAAGAGTTTCTCATTACTTCCTCCCTAACACTGTCCAAATTTCTTGAATATTCAAAGTCTGGTTATTAGCTCCTAATCTTTAAAAGCTGCCTTGTCAAAAGGCCAGCTCAAAGGAAGACGGGTGTCTGGCTCACTGCAGAGCTTCCCAGAGGTGTAGCAGTATGATCTATTTGAAAGAAGAATGTGAAAGAGAAAAGCAAACAAACAGCATGATCTGGCAGGCTCAGATGCACCCAGTTTTTCCTTACTGCTTGTTCTACCCCCTTCACACTGAAGAGTTGTTTGTCTTGCCTCCCTCCTGCTCAATGTGGGCAATTAACTCCTTAGCTTCTGGGCCAGGCACTAACGTATCCCACCTGATTTACCTCAGCAGAATGATAGACCTCGGGCATTGTGACTGCAGATCATCTTTGTGATGCACTGCTCCTCAAATACACACACCTGGAGAATTACAGGCTTCATCTCTCTTGGTGCTATAGGATTTTTTTGGTTTAACTTTACCCATGGAGACCGAGATGCTACATTCACAAACATTTTTATTCCTCTTGGAAAGTTTTTGCTTAGGTCTGTGAACTGTCTCCAGCTCTGGATACACTGAACCCTCAGAGCAGTGTATGGGATTCACACAGCCTCACTGATGGCTTCAGGAAAGCTGGAAAAAGAAGACTCTCCAATTCAGCTTGTCAGCTTCTCCAAACCGTTTCAAGGCCAAGAGGTTCTTCCCCAGTCAATCCACCTGCTACTGAGCACCTCTCTTTCCATACACTTGCTGGTAGTTTTCTCAGTGTTGATCATTTTTGTGAGAGGGATTTCTTCTTCTCTTCCAAGTTTCTTTTCCAGCTTCACCTCTTCTACAGCTCTTTCCTTTAAGGCTAGTTATGGAAAAGTCTGCTTCCCAGTCTTAGTGTATTATTTGATGAATTTGCAGACATTTCAGGGACTCTGTTAATTAATATATTGAGCTGTGCTTCATTATCTCTCATCCTCCTATTTTCAGTCAGTGTTGTCCACAGGTCCATTTTCTTCATCTACATTTTCTTCACAGCTCCTGACAGACAGGAGACTTTTGCTGTGGACATATGCCATTCCTTCCAACACTGATACTGTCTACATTATGCCAGTTGTCTTAATCACTTTCTCATTTTCCCTGAATTTAGTGTGCCAACAAGTCTGGATTCAAATGGCAACAGTAATAATTTCTCGTGCCTCTGCCAAAGCTCTCAAGCCATCCTCAAAATCAGGAAACACACATTATGAAATGTCAGTGTAATAGAACAGAACCACTCTGAGAAGGTCTTTACATCCTCTAAATCCTGTGGGACTCGAGGGACATGCACCACTGTGATTTGTATAAAAAGTTTTCAATTTCAGGCAATGGCCTAATGAATCCAGAAGGACTTTCACTGTCTTTCCCTTTTGAGGCTGGGGGGTGGGGATAATAGCCACCACCCCATCAAGGAAAAGTTGTCCCTTTATGTCTTCATTCAGCCTCCACCAGCCCATACTGGTCTCTTATCTAGCTTCTTGCAACAAAACCACACTCCAAAGGGCAGATTTTCTCCATGGTCTTTGGACTGTTCTTGCTTAACAAAACCCCAAAATTCCTTTCATAGGATTGACAGTATTACAAATTAAAGTTAAAAACCATTTTATCTGCTTCTGCATAGCTCCTGCCGTCCTTATGATCTTTCCAACAGTGGCAGCTGAGTTTGCCTGCCTCATCTTGCCTCCTTTCTGAACGAAGAGCAGTCTGAAAATGCCTTTCTCTGTTGGCCATATGAACATTGCTCTCAGCAACAAGGAACCTGACTTTGCTTCCATGTCTTTTCAACACTTAAACAAATTCACCCAATTTCTGTCACCACAAAGAGTTCAAGTGTGTAATTGAAGAGAATCTCATTAGTAACACATAGTTCTTTTCAAGGATGCAACTGTACTATTTCAAAGCAGAACTGAAATGAAAACACAAACAGCATGGCCTAACAAGTCTGGCAGCACCTATTGCCTTTCTTCAGTTGCTACTCCAGAAATATATTGTTTTGCTGTCTCATTTAAGCCTTTTCAACTGATTGAGGAAGAGACTGAAGAAACTGATGCTTGGTCTCTAGCTGTATTGCTAATATATCATAATTGCCTCTTCACAAGACAGAACAACATAGCTGCAGTTCACCCTTTCATAAGCCATATGCTTTAAGAAATAATAGAGGTATTGAGGCAATACACAGCAATTCTAACCCATCTTCTGAGCTTTGGAGTCTCTCAAAGAAGCTCTTTTCGGGTATCACAGTTTCCCCTAGACTTTCTTTTACGATTTTCTTCCCTTCTCCTCCACTTTCTGCAATAGCTCCTCATTGCTCCTCCTAGGAGCTGCTGGTCACAAGTACGTGAGCTGAGAAACAACAACCCAAATTTAACCATACATTGCTGAAAAATAAAGGTTTGAGATGGGTTCTATGCAGAATTTTGTATGGTTTTACCAATTTAAAGATCATAGAAATAATAAGGATAATAAGAAAACAGCAGTTTATCTGAAACAGAAAAATCTGTTTACCAAAGTCAAATGGATGGTCCTACAGGAAAAAAAAACATGTCATTCATAAACTTTCTCATGCATTCAATAAGCAACACAAATAAAGGACAAGTGATTTTCTTCCCTGCTCTGAATATTACCACAAAAAAGAAGAATCATTTTTTATGAGATTTTTTTTTAAAGAATTGTAATACTTATTTGGTCCAGTTGCACAAGATGTACACAATCAACTGAAATTTACTGACCATTTTTAACTTGCCAGCTGTTGTGAGACACTGAAAGAAAACTGCATATAGAGGACAAATGTATCTTTCCTCTCCGTGGGCCAATGCAATGGTCAAGCTGCGTACAGTGGTCTAACTTGCATTCCTATTGGGATGAACATCCACCTAAATAGGCAAGCAGCCTACATCAGTTGTGCTGAACATCCTTAAACCCCAGACAGCGACAACTGTACATATGAATCCTGATCTCACATATCAGGTTTATATTTCTTGTGTTTACCTTGTTTCTTTATCTGCTAAATTAAAGAGATTTTTTGTTGTTGTTGTTGTTTTTTTTAATGAAAAGCAGTCCATTTTCTTACATTTGACTCTTAATCATTCTTATAGAGCAGGTCACTTCTGCAGTTTGTCCGGATGATAAACACCCTTGGAAATTTCTTAAAGATTCCTCAGATGTGTCTTATCTGTTAACTTAAAAGACAGCACAACCAAAGCATACCTTTTCCCCATCAGAACAGGAGTAAAAGCAACTTGGTCTTACATGCCTATGTATTTCCATTTGAAGTGGCAGACAGTTGACAGTTTAAATTAGTTGCATTAATTTAGCAAATTATTTTATTTAATTACCTTGTGTCAGGTTTTAGGTTTTCCACAGTAGAATGGGTTTGATTTGTAGTGATAACCGATTTCTCCTTTTCACCTTCGCTTGGTCCATTTTCAGTTGACACAACCTCATACTCTGTAAAATTACAGTAAAGAGAAATTTGCTTAAATAATGGCTCTTCCTTGAGCTTCTTCATTGATATCTCTTTTCTCATCTGATTTCCTACTGTCTAATAGGCATCTTGTGTGAAGCAGTCTGGATATTAATACTCTAAAATGGTTAGGAAAGAGAGATCCAGTTCCAGATTGCTGAGTGCCTAGCCCCTTGTCCTTCCTCATAATTCAATTGTGGGATAGAGGATACTCAACATTTCACCTCTGCCCAAAGGTACACTAGTGACAAAATTCCAAACACAAATAAGTATAAGCATTCTGCAGTTTGAATGAAAAGGTATCAAAGATTAAAGTACAGTTTCTAAATGCCTAAACTTTGATAAACTTAAAATAAGACCTATTTTTTTTAATGTTTCCAAAGGAAACGGCACAACTAACTTGGATCATGCACTTAGGGAATTTGCCATAAGTTTATTTCTGTATTTATATGATTTAGAGAAGCTCACTACTTTCTTTTCATCTCACTAGGATGCATTATCAAGCACAAAACTTGTTCTGAACAGGGAATTAACAACAGATGTTTGGGAGGAAGATACCCCTTCAGTCATAGCCCTCTCCAAGAGGTAGTTTCTCTCCAGCAGACAATGTCTGTCCCAATTAATAACTACCTCTTCTAATAAAAAACACTGAGTATATCACTAGTTTTCCTCTCTTCACAAAGAAATTCACAACCTCCCCAGTCCCTTCCTTTTCCCTTCCTAAAACTTGCCTACTATACCAAATGCAGTTTTACTAATTGTAAGCTAGCAAAGGAGAACATTTTCAAAGAACATTTGCAATGAGCAGTTATATCTACAAAGCGATGAATAAAGCAGATATTACATTATGGGGGCAAAGGCAGAGACCACCTATGAACAGCTACAAAACCTACAGAAAATTACTTTTTTTTCTGCTTTTTTCCAATGATACTATTAACTTTTGAGTTCTTAACTAAATGCTAGCAACCTGTAGGGATTTTTTTTTGCTAAATTTTTTAGTTCTCAATACAAGGAGACCCATTTGTTGTCCATGCAGAAATATAAAATGCATGCAATGGGATTCAGTGTTAAAAAGGAAAAATACTCTTAATTGTTGCTGGACTCTCAGATCCTCACTCCTAATAAACATAAGAGATGTGTATGTAAATGAGCATACACACACAAATTGACCCGATTTTGACCTCAATTGTGCAACTATGGCTTCTTTTGCACTCTTCTGTGCAAAAAGCAGCTGTCAAAACCACTGGGGTAAATTATGTAAGACAATAGAATTCAGTGCAGAGCAGCTCTAAAAAATTATGTTCTAAAAATTCCAAGCTTCTAAACCACTGCAATTCAATCTGAGCAATCATATACATGTATGCACATTTGAATTTCAGATTATTTACTGCAATAGTTTCAAAAGGGACCTCCACACAGCATCTTTTTGTCTTTGTCTTGTAGTAGACTCAGTTATTTAGAGCATATACAGAGCTACATAAAACTTTATGTTGCTCTGTATATGCTCGGGGCAGGAAGAAAACAAAGAAAGAAAGAAAAGTAAGTAGAGGGTTTTTACTGTAGATCATTTGTTCAAGTGGGACCCCAATGCAACAACCGAAGACACAAGCATTGATAGTTAGAATGTATTTGTGTAAAACATATCTGATTTTTCTCTCTATGGATTTCATTTTGGGCAACAAAGACCTTTTCCTATACAGCCACCAAAGGCTGAGTGAACCATGGAGGAAAAAAAACTCACAAAACCCCTTTATTTGCCTTAATTAAGCCTCATTAGAGAAATTATGCTTATTAGGCAGGATGGGAGAGCATGTGGATATGCACTGCCTTAGGTACATTCAGATAGAGAATGAGTAGGTAATTTTACAGGAATTTAACCTTTCTGCCTTCTTCCAGCCTCAAGTCAACATGTGATCGAACTTTTTAATTCATTCAAGTCAGAAAAGAAAATACAGCACACGTGAATGGGCATGCACGTGCACACACACACACACATGCAAAGAACTACTGAGCACATCCAGTATCTGCTTGTTACTCAGCGCATGAGTCTCAGTGCACAAGACAATAAACTGCTCTACATTTCTGTGGCAACACAACAGGAAGAGTGGAACACCAGCAAAATGGTCTTGGGTCCTGATATTTGCAGCCTTTATGAAAATAAGGAGGAAAACTTGATCACTGTTTTGCTTATTATTTGTCAGATCTTTCTATTCCTGTAGTATAATTTTGTTTTTAGAAATATCCAATATAATGAGCCCCTTGTGCACAGCTAAAAGTCAGGTGAAGTAACCTATTCAAAAAACTGGCTCAATAACTTACATTGTCTGTTTCCTCAGTTCTATCTGAAACAGTGCCTTATAAAAGAGATGTGATGCCTAAATCAGATGATTGAAAAAACATGTATAAACTACAAAAATAAAAAGAGATGACAGAAAACTTGATTTAAGTCTGTCTAAACAAGTAATGTCATACTGGTGCCAATATGAAGTAATTACTGTTTTCAAAAATGGGATTCAACGCCTTCTCTTGAATTCAGAAAGTGTCCTTGGATGAGTCATTAACTGAGTAATTTTTTGAAGTTAAGACGAAGGACACAAGCTCAATGAGAGTATTTGTAAGCTACAGAGTTCAAACATTTTGTATTGCACATTGAAGTTAAAAAGAATGAAGATGGTATTTATGGGAAAGCTGTTACATCTAGATAGGAAGATATCTAGACTGAAAACTAAAATTTCTCTCAATGAAGCAAAATGAGTATTAGTCATATATTCTGCAGAAGGTTTTAATCCTTCCTGGAATGGAGAAAGGTATGTCAGGTGTCTCAGTTATCACAGAATAGTCTTATAGAAGAGACAAAACTTCATAGAAAGTTAACTTTCACAAATGCCAATTACAACTGAGCAGAGTAAGGGTTTCCACCTAAAGTCTCAGAAGAAACAGTGACCATTGCTTGCTCTGTATTTCACAACCCACATCGAAAAAGAAAGGAAATGGTATTAGAAGGAAATTAGGCCTTGCTCTCATCATTAGATGACATGCACTGACAGTTTTTCCAGCTATAGAGGAAATGTTTTTCTATTTTTGCAATACAAATGGTTTTGTTGCAGTGGGTTCATTAACATAATCAAGGAAAAACAGCAGGTCTACTCCTAAGAAAACATTGCAGACTAAATGACGTCATCTGATCTAATCAAGCTAAGGACTGGTCTGTGGAGGAGGCCTCCAAATGACAACAGCAACAAAAAGGCTTTTCCCTGAACAAAAAGAAGCATTACCAAACTGCCTGGAATGGGGAGTGCTCACAGAGATCCTATCTTCAGCCTAATTCTAAGGTTAGCAATAAGCTCAGACTTCCTCTTCTTCCAGGATGAAGCACATAATGGAAGGTAAGTCAGTTAATCATGATTCTCTCTTATTGGTACTTTTTATTAACCTACAGTCTCTTTTTATTCCCATTTTAATCCAGCAGCAGGGCTAACTTTCTTCTTCTTACCCAGAAGAAAAAAGTGCAGGCTAATTTTTGTTTTGAATGTCCCTTTGGTTTTGTATTTTTTATTTTTCAAAATGTCGGGGAGAGTAAGGAAGAATAGAGGCTAAACCTAGTAATTATTTCTAGAATATCAAAGAAGGACTAATATGGGGAAGAGAGTGGCCTTGCTTCTGACAGTCACCTAATTACACCCCTGCACTGAAGTCTCTCATGACATGGGCATTCAACAACATCTGAAAACATCTCATTTACATGCTGAAGTGAATGGCTCATGATCAAGTCTCAGTCTCACAGTTCTTAGTTTTATCTGTTCTACTTGCTTGTAATGCAACACAGCCAAATCTGTTTGGTCATGGTTGTGATGTGACCAGTGCAAATCAAAGTTGTATGTCCATAGTAAAAACATAAGCCATTTTCCTGACAGTACAGAAGAACCATAATTTTCTGTTGTTAATTGATTTAAATGTTCAATTTTGGTTAAGCTTGTGTTGATATACAGAAGACAACAGAAAAATTATGAATGGTCATCTTGCAGGCTTAGCTGTCTATGTACTGATTTCTGCACGACATATGAGGGTTTGTTTTCAATACAAAACCCTTCCTTTGGAAATGGAAAAGACAGATGTTTTTAACATAGAGAACTTGATGACCCTATAGTGGGTACAGCAAGTATTATGCTGTCAGAGCTCTACTGACTTACTAGACGGATGTAAGTTTTCAGGTTTATGGTTGGATTCGATGATCTTCCAACCAAAATGATTCTGTATGTCCAGCTCACTGATGAACAACATCCTCAAGTCAAGATGTCTTCATTATGTGTGTGCATCTATATAATAAAGACTATTGTCACATTGCTGGAATTTCTTGACTAGATCTTACCAGATCTTGTACACAGAGAAGCAGGAAGTTAAGAGAAGATACAGAGTCATACTCCTTAAGTATCATTTTGTGTCATCACTGACACCAATGATATAGTTGTGAAAATCTTGTTCTAATCTAGTAGCATTTTCTTACGCACACTGGAGTTGACAGTAGCAAAAAACCCCAAAAAACACTGGGGATTAAAAGTAATTTTAAAATGTCACAAAAGCACTGTGAAAGTAAAAATAAGATGGAAATACTATATCCTGATAAAATGGAGGAAAGAAATCAAACCAACCAGTAACAGTGTCATTGTCTGGTTTTTCCCAGTCCAATATGACGAAAGTTGGACAGCCCTCAACAGTCACCACCGTGAGGTTGGTTGGAGGATTTTGTGGAGGACGAGTAGCTTCTTCCTTGCTGCCACCTTCTTCTTGAGGAAAATGTTCAAGAGAGCTTGTGATAGAGCAAGGCACATCTTCATCTTTCTTCATGTACTTGACATGGGGGGCTAAGACCGATAGGAAAGAGCGG